AAAATTACTGCAGAAATATTGGCGGCAATGTTTATAAGCAAAAAATGTTACAAATATCATACACTGGACAATTAAAAAGTAAATGCAGCAACAGCTGAATAAAGTTCTGCAATCTCTAAGAATTGCATTTTAGAACATGTTAATATGATAAGTTTTTATGTTCCACAGGTTCACAAATTTAAAGTTCTATTTGCTAATGTAGTATCAGTACCTGGCTTAAAAGAAGTTTGTTCTTCCATACCTAAAAAAACAACAAATAGTTAGAATTAACGAGGCTGCCAACTGTTATGCGCGAGCATAAAAAAAAAAAACATTCTGCCAGAGGCAAAAAAAAACCTCGTATATCTTTGCATATAATGCTAACCTGCCACTGGGTGGGACTGCACATATATACCTGAAGTACAATTCAGCACGTCTTGCATTTTTAAAAATTTTGTAACAGTCTAAGACACCTCCCCCTATTGGTCAAAGCTGGTACTTCAACTGAAATCACTGAATAAATCATCTCGTTATAGTCATATGATATCTTAGTGGGGCAGCCGTAATGGATGTACTTGTGGTCTCTGTCTGCAATGCTTCCCATTTTTGCAAAGCTTCACAAGAGATAAGCTTCATTTTGCCATCCAGGTCAATCAAAAAACAAGTGTCTAAGTGTTACGTGTCTGCAGACTAATCAAAGGACTACTCCAAGCAATTTGCATTCACACCTATGGGGTAACTAAAATCTGATTTAAAAGCAATGGGTCAAATTTGACAGGAGGAATTCTTTTATTTGGAGGAGTCAAATATCTCAATGGAAAGTTAATTTTGCGCTTGAATTGAATTATATCACACAATAGGAACAGGCCCATCCAAGTATTTAACCCCAACTGTGCAGTCAGGTAATTCAAGCCAACAGCTTCAAAGCCTGAGGAGATCCCTGGGGGTATGTGATACGAAGGGGGGTGTGTACTGTTTGTTTTGAGGAACTGAATATTTCAAAGAGAATAGAACCCATGCATGCCATTTGATAAAACCATAACATTTTTATGGACAGAAGGGGACTAAAGGGCACCCAGATTTTCACAGGTTCTCCAACATTCCATTTGCACCTGTAAGATGTTCTTAGTTTTAGTTGCCGAACCTGAAAACCCTGAAATCATTGTGATGTTATCAGTATTGAAATCTGCTGGAGTATGAGTTTGAAATAGATGACCTTGGGTCAGACTTAGAGAGGGGGGCTGATATTATATCCTGGGATGAGATGAACATACTCTACTCACATGTTTGAGCTTCTTCTTCCTACATGGTAGGAAGGGTCACGTGACGCCATATTTGCACGATTTGCTGGTAATGCTTTCTGAACTACATGGACACACCCACTGTCCGTCAACAATGGTGAGCTGGCCAGGATGTACCTGCCCTCAGCTTGTTTCATGCCCTTATCCTCATTCAGTCCATCACAGCCTCTGAGCCCTGTTACCAAAAAAGAGCAGAAGGTTTTAAATCTGAGAAGAAAAGCCAGTCTAACTGCAGCATGCATTCCTCAGTGGGAACCTGTAATATTGCACTGCATTTTTCATTAAGTTTCGAATGCCTTGCTCGGGTGCATACTAAGCTTGGGACGTTAGGGACGTCGTTGTCATTCTGCTTGTTGTTGCAAAGTGGCTTTCAAACAATCTAAGCATTGACTGTATGCACATATTTTTGACAGATTTACTTATATGCTTATTATAGTAGAAATCCAAATTATTATGTTTTTTTTTTTTACAGTGACAGGCCTTTCAAGCCAAAAGTCAAACTAGTGAAAAATCTACAGTTTATTTACCTAATGAGTTTTCCATTATGTACAATGGTGCAACGGAGTGTTCCCCAGGGTGTAGTTTGTGATGTGGGTGTGGACTGCAGGTCTGTGCAATGGTCCTCACACCCAAGGTAGTGGGTAGGGAGATGCCCTGGGCGAGGACGTGGCTCTGTGCACTGCCTCGACACGCCTGCTGTCACACTCTCACTCACTCTCTTACTGTGAGTTTTGAGACACGGTGCAGAAAATCCTTGGTGGAATCGCAGTGGTCTAGTGCTGTTGCCAGGAATCATCACTGCTGACGTTGCTCCGTTCCAGAGTTACATCATTCTAGGCTACTAAGTTTTAAAACCGGACTGTTAGACCATAGGAATGGTTATGAACGCAAAGACCATGTCTTTGGATGTGAGTCACATGGCTGAGGTGGGGAAGGTTCAGGAATGGTTTGTGTCACTGAAATATTATCGCCATCTGACTTTTGTTTGAATAATCTTTAAACAGAACAGCCCGACTCTGACAATGCATGCCTAGCTACTCGATAACTGGAAATGTTTCTCTCCAACATTAATTACAAAAACTCACACTAAAATGACCTATGTGCCTTCTCGCCTGACGCAGAGCAAAGGAGCGAAATGTTTTTGATTACCGAGATGACGGAGGCACTTAACTGTGACAGCGGCTCCCTTCCCATGATGCTTTGTTTCCTCACAGCAGTGACACGTCCCTCTTGCAGACTTACCCTGTCACTGTGTATTGCGGCTCGCCCACATTTACATATCTCACATATCTGGGTGCGGGATGGCTGCCCCAATGCCTTCGACAATCAACTCCTTTCAGCCAGGCACCTTACAGAACTTCCACGTCCATTCTGCTAGTACAGAGATGCCAGACAAATCATAATTCAGTCTGACATAGTCTGTTATAGATTCTGATGGTGGTGGTGGGGGGGGGGGTTAACACCTACCCAGCCCTAATCGAAATTATAAATAACCAAACAAAATACTAGTATTTTAACTTTTTTGATTGCATTCACAGATTTTTATAAAATTCAGTCGCCACTTGCAAGGACCAAAAAAATGCGCCCACAAGGTCACAATAACAGATTTTTAATTTGATTTATCCCACAATCAGTCCTAGAAGTCATGTTGTGTCCAGTACTAGTTACCATTGGCTACTTTTACTGTTGCACCAAGAGAAAAATTGTGTAACAACTTCATCACAAAAATACTCTGAAGGTTTGTTACTGACATCCTGTAGACTAGATGTTCTGCAAAGGACATTATTTCCCTTAATGCTCCAACTCACTGTTTTCCACTCAAAGGTGAGATGGCATTAATCTTGGGGGCCATTGTTGCTTTGCAAACCTTTGTAATTGCAATATTTCCAGGCACGTAACTGTTGATCCCAACACGTCATGCAGGCATTACACACGTCTGTTTTTCCCCTTCAGACGGCATGAAGACACATTTTCCGCTTCACCCTCTATGGCAGATAATTTTAAGACGTAATTCATTTTCCCCCTACATATGTTGAGTTCATCGACAAGACCCACCATTCTGTGAATTATATGTACAACTTGACTTTGTCCAGAAGATGGCCTAGTGATTAAGGAACTGGCTGTTAAATACTACATTAAACGTCCTCTTATTATTTATCAGAAGAATGTGCTGCGTCTCTTGTTGATTCAGTACCAAATGATACACCAAATGAGGTTAATGATACAGTGGAGCTTGGAAATCCTCGAAAAAAATCCTGCAGAATTTTGGAAGCAATTGCACAAATAAACCATCTGGGTTATCCTATTGTGACGGGTAGTTTCAGACCGGTAGTTAGAAGTTAGACTCTCAGCAAAGTATCAGGCAAAGAACAACTGGCAACACTTTACTTGAAACAGTCTACATAAGGGTGACAAAAACCAAATGACACATTAACAGTGATGTTTATAACAACAGTCATAAGATATAACAGTGATGTTTATGACAACAGTCATAAACATCAATAATATGTCATTAATATGCATGACATGTGTCATGTCATTCTTATGACGGTTACATGTCTCCCTTATGTAGACTGCTTCAAGTAAAGTGTTATGAACAATTATATAAATTATGCAAGCTGTCCATGGTAGATGAGTCTCCTGTGCAAGTGATAATGTAGCTATAAAAATAAACCATAGATTGAACTGTTATAGTAAGTTATTTTCTAAAAATGAAATGTGATACTGTGATGGTTATTTGTCTAAGTATTTTTAGGGTACTTAGGAACATATGCAACAAAGACACTGGGGCTCAAAGTCCATGCCTGGCTGGTATTTCTTTTATTTCTAAGTCTAAACGTACTGCATTGCATGACTGTGATTTATAGCGTGATAGCAAAATGGAGACTGACATTCTAAAATAATTTTTTTAGCAGGACAGTAATAATCTTTATTTTTTCCCCAGGCAGCTCAAATGGCTGAGCTTCAATACTCAGGATCGATAGAAAGGATCACTTAACTTAAGTTATGGAAACTTCCAGGCAGGCTGGTCTCATAAGGGTTCTATTCCTGGAACCGTGGTCATTAAATTCACTGCAGTAAACTGTTCTAATGTGTGTTTCACTGCTTTATTTTGGCCTTCAACTGGGAACTCTAGAGCCATCTAAGGAGCATTGACACATTTAGTTGCCTATGGACCAGTTTGTTAGCCACTGTGCTACAGCTAACCAGCCAAACAAAAGAGTTAGCTGGGTTTCTAGGCCCTGGCTATGGGTCAAAGAGACCCCGTAATGGGAACTCCAGATAGGTTCTTCACTGTGCTATGTGCAGGGCCAAAGGCCAATCCTTGCTTTGCTAGGAGAAGCTGAATGAGGCACAGAGGTTCCATTGTGTCTCCCACGGCTGTTCTCAGCTCATTCCCACTCATTGCAGACAGCAGTAATCCAAGTCATAAGGAAACTGCCAATGTGATGTATGAATACTCATTTTTTTTTAACCTGCTCTATTCTGTCCCACTGTCTCATCATGGGCTGATGCCGAGTTCCTTGTCACAGTCAGTTTTTTTGCCTTTACTGTAAAATGGAGTGCTATTCGCTGCATGATTAAATCTCCAGCGTCACAGTCAGAGGTGAATATTGTCCATAAGCTAATACACGCTGTAGTAGTGCCCAGAAGCAGCTCTGGGTCTGTTCTGCAGATTCACTAAGATTACTTACAGCTTGTATTCCTGTTTCTGAACAGGGGCGGGGAGACGCCTCAAAGGACCAGAGCCAGGTGTGGATGATGACTCAGTAAGTGTCACAAAAGGCGTGTCGCATAATAGGAACATGACCACCCAAGATGCAGTTTCTCGCTCTAATGATCCCAAGAGTAATGGATGTACGTCAAATAACCAAGGCTGCTTTACAGTTTCAAATGCACATACCAAACTTTCTATGCTGTTATTTTCTTCAAATCTATACAAATATACAGCTTTGGAAAAAATTAAGAGACCACTCCATATTTTAAAAAAAAAAATCTGAATTGTTAAATCCTGGTTTAATTCTGGTTCATTGTGAGGCAGGCTGCTTCCAGGCTCAAAATTTCTAAGACTGCAGTACACAAGAAAAAGGTGAAGCAGGAGACATTGGGAATGACCAAAATCCAGGCAGGTAGAGGGCAGAAGAAACTTTCTAATGCCAGGGATGACATTGCCTCATAAATCAGAGGATGTCCTCAAGTGACCTTCAAAAAGAATGGGAAACATTAAGTGGTGTGACGTCTACTGCTAGGACAATATGTAACAGTTTCCTAGAAGCAGGACTGAATACCCATAAAGCAAGGAAGAAGACCTTCAGATAAGCAGGGAACAGTTAGGCTGGAGTTTACCGAAAAATGTATATTTTAGACAGAATCCTGCCCATAAATTGAGAAATGAGTGAAACTGAAAATTTTGCTGTGGTCTGTCATATTTTTCTAGCAAAAAAATCTGATTCTTCTTTTTTGACATCTGGGTATGGCGTTACACATCCAAGTAAGTGGTTTTAAATTGTCATTAGAAAAAGTCATGCCCATATCCCACGATGCTTTTAGATTTGTGAGGAAGCATCCGAAGTTCTAGAAGAGGAGAGACCTCGCCCCCAAGGCTCCTCGCCAGTCAATGAATACCCTGCTACTGAAAAGTACACAGATATTGACAAACAGGTATGATCACCCTGAAAGTCTCAGAGCTGTAGCATTTGACAGCAAAGAAAGAGCATCATATCTCTGTATGAATTCTCTCCCTTCAATCACTGAACATTTTCAGGCTGAAGAGGACATATATGACCCCTACCACAAGAGCAGTAGCATCAAGAAAGGAAAAAGGATTGGATTTGGTTCATTCTTTGAAAAACGCTCTTCAGCAAAAATAAGTCAAATGGAGGTGGGTCATGCCTTCTTCCTATGCACATATAAGCAGGGATTGGCCATTGGAATTTTTGCTACTAGCCAACTGGGCTACTTTAGTAAAAAATGTAGCCTAGCATGCATTTTTCTTTACTTGCCAGAGGGCTAGCGTTCAGCTTTTTGCACTTGCCCTTCATCTAAATGAATTGCCTCAGGCGGGAGGAAGAGCTTAATTGCCAACCCTGCATGTAATGTATGATGTGCATTCTAAAGATCTCAGCCCATTTCATCCTGCATGCAGGACCCAGAAGGATCTGAGTCGAGAGTGTTTGTACGAACGGTAAAAAAAGCCGCTTCAGAGGGCCTGGTGGTGAGCGGTGGGGGCAAGGAGGGAATATTCATTAAAGAAGTGAAACCAGATTCACCAGCATCAAAACACCTCACCGTGAAAGAAGGTAACCCAGATCTGCATTTCACTCAGTTTACACTGATTGTAGTTACACTAAATCGTTGTAAGTATTATATAAGTATTAGGCCAACAGTTCAAATCTGAGTTTCAGCTTTACCTGTTTGTTTGTATGTGTTCAAATTACAGGTGACCAAATACTCAGTGCGACAGTTTATTTTGACAACATCTCCTACGAAGATGCTCTCCAGATCCTGAAGCATGCTCAGGCATACAGAATGGAGATGTGTCTGAAGCGGAAGAGGCCTGCCTCTACAGTATCTACCCTTGAAAGGACCACAGATGTACAGCCAGATGTGCGTTACGTGAGGGTTATGGTCTTGCCCAAATGTTTTCTGTGTCAGTTTCTTGTGAACATTTTGTGTGTATTATTCCTCAGAGAGAGGAGAGAACCGGTCCAGAGGAACGAGGACGAAAAGCACAGAGGCGACATGATGTGCGGATTTCATGGCCGAAATTTTCCTCCCTTGGCAAGGGGCGCAAGGCCGTCTTCAAGAGGTCTCATAGTACATCCGAGGCAGAGGATGAGAAGAGGCTGGAAATGAGCCCATCGACCAGCGATACAGAGTCCCCACTGAAGACTAAGGAAGATGCAGAGGCGAAAACGAAGAAGGCGAAGATGAAGCTGAAGAAGACAGGCTTGAGGAGCAAATCTGTCGACCCGGATGAACGGCTCGCCGTAGAAACACATACGGGGTTCTTAGAGTTTGTGGAAAAGCATCACCCTCTAGAGGAGGCTTCCAGTCAGCCATCTCCAGAAAAACAGGAGAGCTTACCATCTAAGATGCCTCACATATTTGTGCTGGATGACCAAGAGAAGAAGGAATCAGTTAGAATACAAAAGAAGTGTATTGTTCCATACATGCCAGACTTTGAGACTGAAGCTAGCCAACATAAAGCAGAGCTCATTAGCCTGGACAAGACCCTGAAAACCACTGACATTACAGACTCTCTTGCAGATCGAGGTCGCCATTCGCCTAAGCGCTCCCCAGATGGGAAAAAGAGGAAAAAAAAACAGAGGTCAGAACTTAAAGTAAATATTCAGGGAAAGGAGAAGGACGACTTGAGTCCTGATAACCTCACTAAATCCCCTCTGGCCCCAGGAATAAGTACCTCCCCCCGAAATTTAACAGCATCACCCACTATAGCCAGAACTCCAGAATTATCAGTATCACCAGACAGCAAGGTGGGTCCCAAAATAATATCGCACACTCAGCTGAAGGAACAGCAAATGGCCATTGACATCAACACTCAGAGTATAAGTGGCTACCAACCCACCATTAAAGAAGACCAAAAAGGTGCAAGAGAAGAAGACATTTCACCTTTTACTGGGACTGGAGTAGCTGAGGATATAAAAGAGCTGAAAGCAGATGTGTTAATATCAAATGTAGGCGTTCAAAAGAAACCTCCAAAAATGGATTCTGGGAAACAGTGGAAAGAAAGAAGTATACTTATTTCTGATTTGGAGAGATATGGAATCCGAAGCAAAGGTCCAGTGGCTGATATTGGCATAGCAAGATCACACTATGTGAGTTCAGTAAATGAAGTTCAAACAAGTATGATAGACAGAAGTGATGAGAGTGCAGTTAAACCTACAGATTGTGGCTTATATGAAAACATACTAGACATAAACAGACCCAGAACTTCCACAGCAACATCAACACTCCACAGCGAAAAAACCCAGAAGACAGAAGTCAGTTGTAAAGATGATGATGTCTCAACGGCACCTGATGGAGGCATCAAAGAGTCATTGTTACATATACAACCTCCACTACTTACAAAAGACATAAACAAAGACATTTCAGGACAAATCGAAAAACAAGCACCTGTGAAGTTTAAACTGCCAAAAATGGATAAACCTGACTTCAGTATGCATGAGCCCATTTTAAAGACAGACAAAGAAAAAACAGTAACTCAACTGGAAATCAAAGACATCAAGGCAGAACTTAGGGATCCAACCACAGAGCAAATACATATAATTGAGTCATCTCACATGAACATTCTACCCAAACGTGAAGACATTGAGATACCAGGTATGGAAGCTGTAGTTCCATCAAGGAATATTCAAATGCCAGGCGTGAGGATGACTATGGATATGCAGAACATACATGATATTAAGGGGCAATATTCCGAAAGAGATTCTGCATCATTCAAGCTGCCCAGTGCTGACCTGTCAGACATTGATTTGCAGCAACATATTACAAAGACAGATATTAATGCTGAAAAAGTAAAACTGACTAAAGCTGCCAGTGTATCTAGGCCTGCTGAGATAACAGAAAAGCCACTGGATGTGAAGAGAACAGTACCTATTCAGGCCCCTATTACAGACGTAAGAGTTCCAGAGTTCAAGATTGACTCAAATTATATGATAAAAGAAGAGAGTAAACAGTCACATCCCATATTCAAACTACCAAGGACTGAATTTCCTGATGCAGATACCCATACACCTATTGCCATGACAAAAATTGAATCTTCAAAAATCACCGTGGAAAGTTCTGGCTCAAAGGAAGAAGGTTATGTACAAAAGGCAAAGGTAGATGCTGGGGAAGTAAGTACTGAGATGACTAAAATTAAAGAGCGAGACAATATAATAAAACTACCAAAGCGAGAGGACATTGAAATACCAGGGATGGAAGCCAGTGTATCTACAGCAACTATCCAGACATCAGTGAAGCAAAGCTTTCGAAGCGGAGAAACAGATGCTACCATTCTGAAGACAAAAACTGAAATAGGAGAGATCAGTTCCACCAAAAGACACTCTGCAATCAAACTTCCAAAAGTGAAACATCCAGACCTTGATATTCATCAGATCACTAAAACAGATATTAGTACTGAAAAAAGTGGTTTACAGCTTGAAAGTCTTCCTACTGTTTTGAAACATGACATAAATGTATCCCTACCGAATGCCGCTGGATCAAAGATGAATCTTGAAGCACCAAAGGCTGATACAGATGTCTGTGGTGTTTTGCCAGAAATTGAAATTAAAGGTACATCTTTGGAAGCTACAGCTGTGATTCCAGTATCATTAACTTCTGTCGATGTTTTGCTAAAGAAACCAGACATTGACAGGGAGGTTCCAAAAGTCAGTGCTGATGTTCCATCAGTGGATGTGAAACTTCCAGAAGCAGAGCTGACAGTGTCGGGACAGGCACCTTCAGTTGACGTCAAAGGCCCGAGAGTTGAGGTTGAAGGCCGTGATGTAGATGGACAAGGAAGCAATTTTAAGATGCCCAGATTTGGAATCTCACTTTCAAAAGTGAAGGCAACTGGGCCAGATATTGATGTAACATTGCCCAAAGCAAAGTTAGATGCCCAGTTACCCACTGCTGAATTGCTGGCACCCTCAGTTGAGGGGGAAGTTGAAATAACTGAGAAAGATGTTAAAGGACTAGATGTAAAGATCAAGAAACCAAAGATATCTTTTCCTAATATTGACTTCCAAGAAACAGAAGTAAAAGCTCCAGAAGCTGAGGTAACCATTGCAAAAGGAGAAATATCTCTTCCCCAGGCCAGCATAGAGGCAAAAGGCTCCAAATTGGACAGAAAATTTACTGATGTTGATGTTAAGGAAGATGTTGCCATTGGAGATCTTCCTAGCAAATCCAAGGTACCAACTATGAAACTCCCTAAATTTGGAGCAACAAAGGGCAAAGTTGAAGGTGTGGATGTAAGTGCCGACATTAATGTACCTGAAGCAAAGGTTCCATCAGGTGAAGTAGCGATTGAAGTTAAGGCCCCTGATACTGAGGGAATGGGATTGGAAGTGGATAAAACAAAAGGTAAATTTAAACTTCCCAAAGTGACAATGCCAGACATGAATGTATCTCTACCCAAAGTGTCTGGACCAGAGATAAATCTCAAAGGACCAAAGATGGAAACAGATGTTTCTGTATCAAAGCCAGAAACTGACATTAAAGGTC